GAGAGATTCCTGTAGGGAACAAACCCCATCAGCCACCCCTTCCCACCCCAAAACCCCGTCCCATGTCACCCCACCCTGCAGAGAGTCTGGCCGGGGCACTGGGCAGCACCAGGGCCGCCGCTGTCGCACCGTGACCCAGCAAATCCAGCTCTGCCGGGGGTGCCACCAGCCTTCAGGTGCCTCCCTGCAAGGGGGGAGCCCCACACACCCCAGAACAGGGTCCCCCCAGCTCTCGGGGGTCCCCTCCCGCACCGCGGCAGCACGGGACTCCAGGGAGGGGCCGGCAGCTGCCTGTACTCCTGCCTGGATCGATGGTTTCCCACTCAGCGGCAGAGCCCCCCCGGCCAGGCTGATGTGCCCGGGGGCAGCGGGACACCATCGATCCCGCCCGGGCGCGGGGACCGGCCACCCTGCACCGGGCCCGGCGCCCGCGGGGATGGGGGGGCCAAGCCCCAAATCGGGGGAGGGGGACGTTGAGGGAGGGAATCGGGGGAGGGGAGACTCACACGTGGCTCAGCCTGGGGGTGTCCAGGAAGGCGTCGGCAGAGATGTGCTGCAGCCCCGACCTGGAGATGGTGCTGAGGGGAGGGAAGGGCTGAGCACCCACACTGGGGGTCCCTGGATCCCCATCCTGGGAGCACCCCCTCTGCACCTCCTGCAGTGGGATTGAGCTCTGGGGATCCCCCATCCAGCAGCCCCCCCTCCCCCCATTTCCCTGTGCAGGGACCCCACCCCGGGGTGCTCACAGGCTCCTGAGCTCCCGCAGCATCCTGGTGTCAGCGCGGGTCAAGGTCGTCAGCCTCGGCTGGTTCTCAATGGTGCTGGAAGGCAAATGAGGGGGGTCAGAGGAGCAGCCCAGGACCCCCCATGCCAAGGGCCACCAGCAAAGCGTGGGGCAAGGGGAGAGCTGTGCTCCCTCCTCCCCAGGCTGTGCCTGCAGTGCAGCCCACAGCTGGAGATGGGGACAGGGATGCCCCACCGTGCCTCAGTTTCCCCTGGGCAGACAGGGATGAGCTGGAAAGGGGGAATGGCAGCAGGTGATCCCGATGGTGCTGAGCCCCAGCCAGTGTGAGCCTTGTGGGGCTGGGGCTGAGCTGCCACTTGGAGCCCATGGCCTCACGCAGAGAGTGAGTATTTTAGGTCTCAGTCCCACTCACCCCTGGGTCCCCGCCTTTCCTCACACCCCAGTGTCCTGCACTGTGACAGGGTCTCCGACTGTCCCCCCTTCCCCTTCTATTCAGGCAATGAAGAAAAGCCCCTTTGGGAGTGGGTACAGGGGTTTTCCCCCCGCCCCACCCCAGGGGCTGCTCCTGTGAACCCCAAATCATCAGGAGTTAATCGGGGGTTCAGATCCACACTAATGGGGTTTTGGTCCCACTGACCCCTGTGGGGGGGTGCCTACTGCCACGAGCGAGGTTGTGGGGATGGGGTGAGGGAGGCTGGGGCAGCGGGATGGCCGGGGGTCTCTGGGGGACCACCATCCCCCCCACCACCCACCCCACCCGTCAGCCAGCGAACAAAGAGCTGGCAGCGCCCGTGGCGCAGCATCCCCGGCACGTGGGGAAACTGAGGCACAGAGACACCCTGCAGCCAGTCCCCAGCAATGCGGCACAGCCAGGGCTGTGGCAGGGGGAGGACCCAGGAGTCAGGGTGCCTTAGTATCCTGCAGCACCCCGTACCCCCACATCCCCCAGCACCCTCCTCGTCGCTCCTCGCTCCAGCCCTCATCTGCTCGCCATACATCCTGGAGCAGGGGAATGAGTGGGAGCAGAGGAGATCCCCCACCCCAGGAAATCTGGGGTGTGTCCCCGCAGCATCCCAACCCACAGGTCCCAGGACAGGGTGACAGCCCCAACAGACTGGGGACAAGGGGCTCCCCACACCCCAGCTCTGCCAGGCATGGCAGGGGTGCTCCCTGCCCGAGGTCCCTGCTGCACCCTCAGTGTGTCACTATGGCTGGCATCGCTACAGGAGGGGGCAAAGGGCTGCCCCCAGACCCTCACTCACTCCTTGGGGGATGCAGCAGCCCCCCCATCCTGTCTTTGCAGCCCCAATGGCTCCAGCCAAGCACTCACGCTCCCCACAGGGATCCCAGCCCATCCAGTGATCCCTGCTCCATTGCTGCTCCAGCCCAGCCCCGCTGCCCTGTCCTCGAACTCCATCACCTCCATCCCCATCACCCCACCACCCTGTCCCTCAGCCCTGCTGCCCCCAGCCCCCTCACTGCATCCCTCAGCCCCATCACCACCAGTGCCATCACCCTCAGCCCCTCTGCCCGGTCCCCGAGCTCCATCACCCCCCTCCCCATCATCCCAATCATCCCCAACCGCTCTGCCCAGTCCCCAAAATCCCTCACCCCCAGCCCCATCACGCCCATCCCCGAGCTCTGCCACCACCAACTCCATCGCTGCCCCAGCCCCGCCGCTGCGTCCCTCAGCCCCTGCGCTGCCGTCCCGCTCACCCCCAGCCCCTCTGCCCGGTCCCTGAGCTCCATCACCCCGACCCCGGCCCCACTCACACGTCGGTGAAGCCGCCGGTTCGCAGCAGCAGGGCCAGGCTGCCCACGGTGCTGGGTTCCCGGCAGAGCAGGGTCCCGGCCCGGGGGCAGTGGCAGGGCCGGGGGCAGGACCGGGCAGCGCCCGGGGCGGGCAGGGTCAGGAGCAGCGCGGCCAGGCAGAGCCAGGCGGGCAGCGGCGGCATCGCGGGGCCGGTCCCGCTCCCGGTCCCGGACCGGTGCCGATGCCGCTGCTGCCGATGCCGCTGCTGCCAGTGCCGCCGCTGCCGGTACCGGTGCCGCCCTCCCTCGCACTTGCCCGGCAGCCCGAGCACGGGGTCGTGCGGGGCTTAAAAGCAACGCAGGGACCGGCCTCCCGGGAGGGGCCGGCGGCTCCCCCCGCCCCGGCACCGCCCCTGCCCCGGCCCGAGACCCCCCCGGCCGTGACTCACGGGCACGCGGGAAGCCCCCGACCCGGGAACGGGGGATTCCGCACACGGACAGCGAGCAGGGAGCCTGTCTGCGCCCTGCCCGCACCCTGCCTGCACCCTGCCTAGACCCCTGCCCCCTGCCCGCGATCAGCCTGCACCCTGCCCGCCCCTGCCTGCGCCCTGGCACACTACACCTGCACCCCCCAGCCCCATCCCACCACTGGCACCCCTAAACACACTGGAGCACACGTGGGCACATGTGGGCACATGTGTACACACACACGCACGCCCGCACACACACACACGCACGCACACAAACACACACGCACACACACACACGCACACACGCACACACCCAAGCAACACACCCGCACACACACAACAACACACACACCCGCACACACACACACAAACGCACCACACACACACACACACGCCCCAACCCCACGCAAACACACACATGCACACACACACGCGCGCACACCCCCAAATAAACTAAAGGGTACACCAAACACACAACACCGCACACCCACACGCACACACAAACGACACGCACACAACACCACACACACACGCACAGCTGCACACACACACGCACAGAACTAGACACACACGCACAGAACTAGACACACACGCACAGAACTAGACACACACACGCACAGAACTAGACACACACACGCACGCACACACACAGCTGCACACACAGCTGCACGCACACACACAGCTGCACGCACACACACCCGCACACACGCACACACACGCACACACCACACGCACACACACACGGGCACACACACGCCACACCACACGCACACACACGCACACACACACACACACACACACACACACACACACACTCGCTCCAGGACCCGGCTCGGAGCTCGCTGCGCAGAAGGGACAGGGGATGTCACACCAGCACCCCTGAGGCCACCGAGAGCCCTCCAATCTGTCACACCGCGCGATGGTGCCCTCAAATCTCGAGGCATGATGGGTTGTCCTGGGTTAGGCTCTTCCCCAGCACCCCGTTATTTTGGGGTGCAGAGAGGCTGGAGACGGGGGGATGTTTGGTGACACAGTGGCCCCGTCCCCACCTGTCATCCCCAGCCAGGACCCTCCTCCTCCTTCCCGGGGGGGCAGGACAGGATTGTTGTGCACCCACTGCCCTCCCCCCAGGGTTCCCCTTCCCCACCTGGCTGCTGCTTGTCCCCGGGCTTGTCCCAAAGCACCTCGGGGGTGGCTCATCTGTGCGTTGAGTTTAGAACGTTCTCAGCCTGCATTCCTCCCCCATGGCTCAGCTCCGGGTGCATCTCCCCAACCCAGTGACACTTATAGGGCTCAATTCCCCTGGGGCGACCCCCCCCCCCCGCCCCCGGCAGAGCCGACCAGCCTGCCACATCCTCCCAAATTCCACTGCTTTGACGTTTTTCCCCAGAAACGCCTCCGGTTTGGGCACTGCAGGGCAAAGCCGCAGGAATTGGACAGGGCTGGTGCGGTGGGGAGTGAAAAACCCCGTGTGCCGCCCCCCCCCCGATCAGACACTGCCACAGCTGAGCTTCATCCCCCTTTATTCGCGCTCATCCCACGGCCGCAGATCAGACAGTGAAGCCCCTTCCACGGCCCAGCACGGCCCCAGCACTGGTCCCAGTGCAGGGGGCTGGGGAGAGGCATGAGGGCCACCCCAGGCTTCTCCTGCTGCAGGGCTGCCCCAGTTTCCCCAGCTGTAAAAGAGGGGTCATGGGGGTACTGACCTGTTTGACGGGCGGCTGGAGGGTGACGGCAGAGGCAGATTGGTGGGGGACCCCGAACCCCAAGCCCCACTCTCCATCCCCATGCCCACATTCCCCCCGCCCCCCCAAGAAAAAACCCAAGGAAGGACCGGGGTGTTCTCCTCCCAGCCAGCAGCCCCCCACTCCCTGCCCCTGATCTGTAGAACCCCAATTTATCTCCAGGGGAAAGGCCCCCCACGGAGCATCCTTGCTTTGCTGCCACCCCCTTCCCAAGGCACCTGCTCCTCGGCCGGGCCCTTGGAAGCAATAAATAATGTGGGGGTGTCCCGGCACTGGGGGGTGGCCGGAGGAGGGTGGGGGGTGCAGAGTGCAGCGGGGGTCCGAGCACACCCCGGGCTCAGAGTCAGGCCATCCCGTTGGGGAGCTGGCCGGGGCTGTGGTCCTTGCGTGTGGGCAGGGGGGATGTGGGGGGCTCGTCCTCCCCGGCGGACGGATCTGTCTCGGCGTCAGAGGGTTCTTCTGAGCCGTGGTGGCCGTTCTCGGGGCTGTAGAAGAAGGAGAGGGTGCGGAAAGCGGGCGCCATGTGGTCCTTGATGCGCTCCAGGAGCTGGATGAAGGAGGGGCGCTGGCGCGGGTTCTGCTGCCAGCACAGGCACATCAGCTCGTGGCTGTGGGAAAGAGAAGGCACCTGCTGGTTTCGGGGGGCTCCAGCACCCCATGGCCCTCCCAGCACTGGGAGAGACCAGGATTTCCCCCACCAGCAGGGTGGGGGTCTGAGGGGGTGTCCCCCCTCGCTCACAGTTTGTCAGGACAGTTTTCGGGCCTCTCCAGGACACCGTTGTCCATGACGAAGCGCAGGACCTGCTCGTTGGACATGCCCTGGTAGGGCTGCTCGGCCAGCGTGGCGATCTCCCACAGCACCACCCCGAAGGACCTGCTGGCACGGCGCCACTCAGCCAGGAACTCCCCAAAACTCCCCCCCGGCACTCCAGGAACTCCTCAAATCTCCCCCCCTGGCACTCCAGGAACTCCTCAAAACTCCCCCCCGGAACTCCAGGAACTCCCCAAAACTCCCCCCTGGCGCTCCAGGAACTCCCCAAAATTCCCCCCCGGTGCTCCCCCCCAGCCCAGCACCCACCAGACGTCAGACTGCGTGTTGAAGATGCCGTCCTTGAGCGCCTCCGGGGACATCCAGCGCACGGGGAGCAGCCCCTTGCCCCCTTTCCGGTAATAATCCGTCTCGTAGATGTCCCGGGTCATGCCAAAATCTGGCAGGGGAGGGAGAGGAGGAGGAAGGCGTGAGCAGCAGGAGATGGGGGCTGGCAGCAGCCTGTCCAACGCTGCCCACCCACCTCCAATCTTGACAGTGAAGTCCTCGGACACCATGCAGTTGCGGGCAGCCAGGTCCCGGTGCACGAACTTGTTGGCGTTGAGGTAGGCCATGCCGTCGGCGATCTCCCCCGCCATCTGGATCATGTCCTTGAGCGATGGTGGCGGCAGCCCGGGGTTGTTCTGCACCGTGCATAGACTCGGCTGGGGGGAGGCACACCAGGACCCCCCCGGGGGCAGGGTGGGTGTCACTTTGCCCGTGGGGGCACCTGGCCAGCCCCTCACCTCGGCCTCGGGCCTGAGAGAACGCAGGTAGCTCTTCAGGTCCCCGCGTGTCATCAGCTCCATGATGACCAGAGCTGGCTGGCCCTGGGACACGACGCCGAGCAGACGGACCTGAGGGGACAAAGAGGGGTGGCATGTGAGTGGCCAGACCCCCCGTGTCCCCTCCCTCTCCCTCAGCTGCCCACCTACCACGTGGTGGCACTTGAAGGCTTTCATGACAGAGGCCTCGTTGAGGAACTCGATGCGCTCCCGCATGGTGGCCAACTCGTTGACTGTCTTCAGGGCCACCTTGGTCTCCTCTCCCTCCGTGACCAGCCCCAGTGCCAGCCCCTCATACACCATCCCAAAGGATCCCTGTCCCAGCTCCCGGATCACTGTGATCTTCTCCCGTGACACCTCCCACTCATCAGGCATGTACACTGCAGGGTTGATTTGGGACTACGTAACCCCCCCCGACAACACCCCCCCCCCCCCCCCCCCTATTTTTCTCTTTTCCCCTCCTCCCCATCACTGTCACTATCCCCCTCTCCATCCTCATCCCCTCTCCATCCCCCTCTTGATCTCAAATCACATCCTCATCTCCATCCTATCCCCCCCTCCATCCCGGTCATCATTCGCATCCCATTTCTACCCCCATCCTCATCTCCATTCCCTCACCCTCCTTGTCCCTCTCCCTAGCCTTATCTCCATCCTCACCGCATATCCCTCCCATCACCATCCGTGTCTCTGTCCCCATCCCACATATACATCCATCCCATCCCCATCCCCATCCTCATCCCATCCCCATCCCTATCTCCTCCCCATCCCCATCCCCATCCCATCCCACCTCCATCTCCATCCCATCCCCATCCCATCCCATCCCACCCCATTCCCATCCCCATCCCGTCCCCATCCCATCCCATCATCCCATCCCATCCCATCCCATCCCATCCCATCCCATCCATCCCATCCCATCCCATCCATCCCATCCCATCCCATCCCCATCCCACTCCCATCCCCATCTCCATCCCAACTCCATCCCACCCCATCCCACCCCATCCCATCCCCTCCATCCCATCCCATCCCGTCCCGTCCCATCCCGTCCTGTCCCGTCCCGTCCCACCCCATCCCATCCCACCCCATCCCATCCCATCCCACCCCGTCCCTGTCCCCTCCAGTGTGACCCCAGCGAGGAGGGGGCTCAGCAGCCCCCCCGAGCCGCCCCTGCCCGTCCCCACGCACTGTCTGAGGCACTGAAGTACTCGGGGTTGACGGAGGCGTAGAGGGTCCCACTGGGGTACCCGTCGTTGTTCCTGCCAGGGGTGGGCAGCGCTCAGAGGTGCTGCCCCCCCCAAGCCCTTCCCCAGCCCTTCCCCAGCCCTTCCCCAGCCCTTCCCCAGCCCTGGCTCAGCCGGATCCTGCCCCGGCCCAGCCCTGGGGGTGCAGAGGGGTCGTTACCTCTTCTTGTTGTAGAAGAAGACGAAGACGGCCAGGCAGGAGATGAGCACCATGAGCACCACGGGCGTGACAGTGAGCAGGACGTAGAAGCTGCCGGACTCCTCCTCGGCTGCCGGGAGCAGGCGGCCCTGGATCAGGGCCCGGGCAGGCTCATCCCCACCCACACTTGTCCCACCACCACCACTGGGCCGGAGAGGGGGAGCTCCCGGCTCCCCAGACCGGCAGCACCCACTGATCCCTGGGTGTCCCTGTCCCAGAGCATCCCCCGTCCCCCAGATCCCCCAGTCCACCAGCAGCTCCCAGTCCCCCACTCCAGCAGCATCCCCCAGTCCCCCAGCTCCTCAATCCGGCAGCATCCTTGGATGAAGGATGGGAATAAGACCGGACTGGCTTAGCAGAAAGCCTTGACTGGAACTCCACCTCAGGCTGGTGTTTCCTTTTTCAGGAGACGTTCAAACCTTTGGAAGAAGGGGCTGGAAGGTCAGAAGGACCACAAGGATGAATATGAGAAGGGCCAAAGCCCAACTAGAACTGAATCTGCCATAACAGACAATAAAAAATGTTTCTATAAATCCATCAGCAACCAAAGGAAGGCTGAGGAGACTCTCCATCCTTTATTAGATGTGGGGGACACAGTGACAAAGGTTGAGGAAAGAGCTGAGGTACTTCCTGCCTCCTTTGCCTCAGTCTGTAGCAGTAGGACCAGTTGTTCTGGGACCCTAACCCAGTCCCCTGAGCAGGAAGACAGGGATGGGGAGTGGAATGAAGCCCCCATAATCCAAGGGGAAATGGTCAGTGACCTGCTGCACCACCACAGAGACACCCACAAGTCTGTGGGGTCAGATGGATCCATTCAAGGGTGCTGAGGGAGTCGGTGGAAGGGCTCACCGAACCCCTTTCCATCATTTTCCAGCAGTCCTGGCTGACTGGGGAGGGCCAGTGGACTGGGAGCGAGCCAAAGTGATGCCCATCTACAAGAATGGTCAGAAGGAGGATCTGAGGAACTCCAGGACTGTCATCCTGACCTCAGTACCAGGGAAGGTCATGGAGCAGATCACCCTGAGTGCTGTCACACAGGTAGGACAAGCAGGGGATCAGGCCCAGCCAGTGTGGGCTGGTGACAGGCAGGTCCTGCCTGACCAGCCTGGGCTGTTCCGTGGCAGGGTGGGCTCTCCGTACAGAGCCAGTCCCGTTCCATGACTTCATGGATGGCCTGGACGGGGGGATTGAGTTTGAGGATGACACCGAGTTGGGTGGGAATACTGATGTGCTGGAGGGCAGGAAGCTCTGCAGAGGGATCTGGATCCAAGGGCTGAGAGCAATGGGGTGAGGGGCAACAAGGCCAAGTGCCACATCCTGCCCTTGGGTCACAACAACCCCATGGAATGCCCCAGGCTTGGGGCAGAAGGACTGGAAAGCCGGAAAAGGACCTGGGGGTGCTGTTTGACAGCAGGTGAATGTGAGCCCAGGTGTGCCCAGGTGGACAAGAGGCCAATGACACTTGGCCTGGACCAGCCACAGTGGCCACAGGGCCAGGGCAGTGCTGGGCACCTCAAATTCTGGGGGCAGTTTTGGGACCCTCATGACAAGAGGGGCTGGAGCATGTCCAGGGAAGGGAATGGAGCTGGGGAAGGGGCTGGAGCACCAGGAGAAAGGTCTGGAGAACTCCTGAGGGAGCTGGGGGGACTCAGCCTGGAGAAAAGGAGGCTCAGGGGGGACCTTCTCACTTCCTACAACTCCCTGGCAGGAGGGGGCAGCTGGGGGGGGTCGGGCTCTGCTCCCAGGGAACAAGGGACAGGACAAGAAGAAACGGCCTGAGGTTATGCCAGGGGAGGTTTAGGGAATTAGGGATATTAGGGAAAATTGGAAAGCAGTGCTCAGGCTACCCAGGGCAGTGGTGGTGTCGCCATCCCTGGAGGGATTTAAAAAAGTGTAGCTGTGGCACTTGGGGGCATGGTGGCCTTGGCAGTGCTGGGGGAACAGTTGGACTATCGAGTCTTGAAGGGCTTTTCCAACCCAAAGGATTCTGTGATTCTGTGATCCTCCAGTGTCCCAGCCCAGCAGCAACCCCAATTCCCCAGTGCCCTGATCCAGCTCCCTGACCCCACAGCCCCCTCTCCCTGCCTGCCAGGGTCCCCTCTGACGTCCCCCTTGTCCCCCGCAGGTACCTGGCCCCAGGATGTAAAACTTGACGAGCCCTGTCCAGGAGCCGTTGCCGGCCAGGGAGGTGGCCCTGACCTTGGCCGAGTAGTTCCCTGGCTGGAGCAGGGCCAGGTGGACCCCCCCGTACTTGGAGTAGCGGTGGCGGGAGACGCAGACGACGGTGGTGACCTCCTGGGGTGGGGGGACAATGAGGGGGTGGCCAAGGGGCTTCATCTCCCCCCAGCTGTGTGCAAGCCTTGGGGGAGAGATGGGATGGGATGGGATGGGATGGCATGGCATGGCATGGCATGGCATGGCATAGAATGGGATGGCATGGCATAGAATGGCATGGCGTGGCATGGAATGGCATGGCATGGAATGGGATGGCATGGAATGGGATGCCATGGCATGGAAGGGAATTGGGATGGGATGGGATGGGATGGGATGGCATGGCATGGCATGGCATGGCATGGATTGGGATGGGGGGGGTGCTGTACCCCTATAACCAGATCTGGCAGGGGGTGTCCTGGGGATGTCCTCACCTCACTCTCCCGGCTGTACTTAATCTCATACTTGAGGATGAGCCCGTTGGGGTTCCTGGGCTCCTCCCAGCGCAGCAGGACGCTGTTCTTGCCCGCCGGCTCCCACGTGACGTTCCCAGGAATGTTGTCAGCTTGCACTGGAGAGGGGCACAGAGAGGGTCACCTCCTGGGGGCATCACCTGGACCCCGACCCGCTGCCAACGTCCCATCCAGAAGACATCCCAGCACGTCCCGAGGCAGGGTCTGGGAGGGGGACGCACGCTCGGGCATGGTCCTGGCGAAGACGAAGGTGGCGGCGCTGCAGCCCACGGTGTGCGCGGCGTGGTTGCAGGCGTGGATGTCGATGCGGTACTCGGTGAAGTGGCGCAGCCGCGACAGCACCGCCCGGTCACGAACCACCTTGTCCTCGAAGATCTGGAAGCGGGGCTTGGGCTCCCCTCTGGCACGGCTCGGGGCCGGCGGCTCCGCCCAGGAGGCGTTGGCCGGGGAGGTGACGGCCACCACGTCCCTGCGCTGCTTGGGGGTCCTGCGGGAGACGGGGACAGGAGGTGGTGGGGAGCCAGGGCGCCGGGGTCGTCGAGACCCTCCAGGCTTGTGTGGCCCCCGCTCACCTCTGTGGGTTCTTGTTGATGGACGTCACCTTCCAGGGTGGCCTGGGACAGCGGGAAATCAGTTAAAGGATCTGCCAGGAGCGGCCACTGGACCCCCCACCCAGGCAGACACACACACACACAGCCTGGGGGAGCCCCCCAAAGCAGGGACCCCCCCCAGACGGCACCTGGGGATGGTGATGGAGTTGTGGAGGAAGTTCTCAAACTTCTTCTGGAAGGACTCGGCCTCGCCCTCCATGCGGAGCTGCCCGTCGGCGGGGCGGCAGGGGCAGCACCGCTCCTCCGCATCCTGCTCCACCTCGGGGCCGTCCCCGTCCCCAAAGCGCGTGTCCGCACTGCTGGTGGGCAGCTTCAGACCTGCGGGCAGCGATGGGCAGGGCTGGCAGGCTGCTGGACCCCGGCTCGGGGGGAAAATCCCTGTTCCACTGGTGTCCTTGGCTGCTGTACCCGACCTGTGTGCGCTGCCCTTGCCTGGCAGCCCTGCCTGCCCTGCCTGCCCTCACCTTTGTGGCAGTAGTCGTTGATGTAGAGCTCCATGTCCTCGGCCAGCTGCTGCCACAGCACCAGGTAGTAGGTGATGTTGCCGTTGCGCTGCGTGGGCGGCTTCCAGCGCACCACGATGTGGGAGGAGGAGTTGGACATGGAGATGACATCCCGGGGCACCGTCGGGGCTGGGTGGACACGGGGTGTCGGTCTTTCTTTGGGGGGGTTACCACAGGCATCCCCGGCCCCTGCCAGCCCCTTACCCGCCGGCATGGTGCGGATGTAGACCACCTCGCTCTGTGCCCCGTAGTTGCGTCCCTCCTCGGCGGTGGTGAGGGTGATGGCACGGACGAAGATGGCATATTGGGTCCAGGGGCGGAGGTTAAGCAGGGCCACCCCTGGTTCCTGGTCACTGCTGAGTGGCAGATCCACGTCCAGCACGTTCCAGCTCTGGGCCCCACAGGCATCCTGCCCCACGTACTCTGACACGTTCTGGAAGGGTCTGTCCCACACTGGGCATCAGGGAAGGCCCTGGGACCCTTCCCAGCCACACAACTCCCTGGGGGTTCCAGCAGCCCACCAGGGCACAAGGACATCACGGGCTGGAGTCCCCATTCTCCATGCTGGAACTCCCCACAGGTTTCTCCCCGGGGTCCACCCCTGGACACTGAGTCCCACCAGACACTGGTGACACCCCTGGGTGCCCTGGTCATGTGCCAGGTCCCCCCTTGGGTACTGGGGACCTCACCCATCCTGCCCCAGCCACCCCCTTGGACGACCCTTCCCTGAGCCCTCTTATCCTGCTCCAGGATCACCTAGAACACGAAGGACAGCCCAGGGCACCCCATTCTGCCCAAGGTTCATGCCCTGACATCAGGGACTCCCTCACCAGACACCCCTGTTCTGCCCCGGATCCTCACCCCAGACACAGGGGACCCCATGGACTCCCTGTCCTGGCTTGGGTTCCCACCACTGGGTCCCCCCCCAGACAGTGGACGACCCCCCCAGTGGGGATGGCAAACACTTACGACTCCTTGTAGTAGACGATGAAGCTGAGGAGGTCCCGGTACTCGGGGGGCCGGTACCGCTCCCACTTGAGGAAGATGCGGTCGGACTCGGTGACGTTGGAGATGAAGCGTAGGGTCTGGGTCTTACCTGTGGAGCGGAGGCAGGGCTCGGGCAGGGAGGGGGTCACGGCACTGCCGGTTGTCCCCCTGCCCGTCACTCACAGGACGCCCGGTCCCCGTTGGTGCGGGGGTTGATCTCGGCCTTGTTCTGCCGCCCCTTGGTGCCCGTCACCTCCTCCATGCGGTAAATCTCGGCCAGGCACAGCTTGGGGTTGAAGGCAAAGTACATCTTGCCCACGGGGATGGAGAGGATGTGGTGGCTCCAGTCCCAGAGCTGCTGCAGGTTTTGGTTGTCCAGGACGTACAAGGTGTAATTCCTGGGGGGGAAGGTGCAGATGGAGGCGGTGGGCACGGGCACCCCCAGAGCCACACGTCCCCCCCAGACACGCCCTGTCCTCACCCGTCCACCATGGAGTCACCACGGATCAGCTTGAGGTTCTTGAAGAAGGACAAGGAGACGAGGGCGAAGGAGTGCTTGATCTTCAGGAAGCCCGTGATGGTCTCGATGAGCCCCAGACTGCTCTGCAGCTCCGAGGCCAGGTTATCTGGGGACAACCCACGGCGTGAGCTCAGGGAGGAGGGCACCCTCCCATTGATTCACTCCGCAAGGGAAAAGACCCCCTGCCTTCACCCCCCACCCCTCATAGCTGTTCTCCCACCCGGGGCAGGTTGTGGGGGCCGGACGTGGCACTCACAGCCCCGGCGGATGTTGAGGATGAGGTTCCCCTCGATGAGGGTGCAGCCCACCAGCTCCTGTGCCGCCCGCGTCGAGTCGATGGTCTTGGTGCCCACCTTGCACTCCTTGGGACACAGACCCTCGCACTTGTGGCAGAAGATGCTGCGGGCAGGACGACAGGGCACTGTGAGCCGGGCACTGTGCCACCACCGTGCCCATGCTGGGGGCCACCGGGATCGCCCCCCCCCACCTGCTCTCATTCCTGGTGTATCCCGAGGGACACTCGGAGAGGCACTGCCGCTGGTGGATGACGAACTTGGAGGCGTCGCGGGGGTTGTGGGAGACCTTGCGGAGGCTGGCGCAGTACTCGGCGGTGACGCAGCGCCAGCCCTCGTACTCGTAGGTGCGGGGCGGGCACGAGGGCAGGCAGTGCCCGTTGAAGTGGAAGTGGCGGCAGGCGACGCAGGCCCGGCTGTCGCGGGGGCGTCCGCAGCCCCCCAGGCACTCGGCGTGGCAGCACTCGCCCGCCGCCGTGCACGCCGAGCCCGCGCCACACGGGCACACTGCGAGGGGAGACAGCGCCGTGGGCAGGGGAGACCCCCGGGCATGGACCCCAGCACGGCTGGGAATGGGTTGGGAGTGTGCAACAGCAGGAGAGGGAAGAAGTGGGAAGGGTTGGGGGCGTTGGTGGTTCCCTCCAGATCTGGGGGGCAATGGGAGGGAGCGTGGGATGGAGAGATGGGGAGGTGTGGGGATGGAGGAATGGATGGTGGGATGAAGGGAGGGAAGAGGAGTGTGGGGATGGATGGAGGGATGAAGGGATGCCGAGATGGTGGGATGGATGGAGGGAAGAGGGGAGGCAGAGAGGAAGGAGAGGAAGAATGCACTGATGGTGGCATGAAGGAGGGATGGAGGGATGGTGGGATGAACGGAGGGAAGAGGGGAGGGAGGGAGGAGGGAAGAGGTGTGTTGGGATGGATGGAAGGATGGAGAGATGAAGTGATGCAGAGATCATGGGATGCAGAAATGGAGGGGTGAAAGGAGGGAGGGAAGAATGCATTGATGGTGGGACAAAGGAGGGATGGAAGGATGTAGGGACGGATGCAGAGATGGAGGGATGCAGGAATGGATGGAGAAATGGCCAAGCAGTGGGTGGCCAGGCAGGCAGGTGGGTTGATGGGTGGTTGAGTAACCCGCTGGGATGGGCGGATGAGGGGCTGGACGGAGGGACAGCAGGACAGATGGGTGGACGAGGGGAGGCTCAGCCTGTGCTGAGCTCCAACTGAGCCCCAGCTGAGCCCCAGCTGAGCCCCAGCTGCCCGGAGCATCCGAGGCCGGGTCCACAGCCGAGGCTGCAGCCCCGATAAGGATCTGTGTTTATAGTACAGATTTTATTACCAGGTCTCCTGTTTACAGCAAACGAACCCAGGAGGGGCCCGTATTTACCTCGCTGCTGGGAAAACACGGCAGCCAGGAGCTGGCCTGTCCTCCGGAGGATGATACAGCGCGGATCCGGTTACCCCGCCACGCTGCCGGCACGGCATGGCACGGCACGGGGGAGCCACAACCACGTGCCAGGGCCTGCGGCTCCACCAGCCATCCCCACTGCCCTCCCAGTTTACCCCACAGTGCAAACCATCACCGTCCCAGAAAAGCAGCCGAGCCCTGTGCCACTGACACCCACCTTTCTGGCAGTAGCTGGAGGTCCAGCAGCGATAATCCAGCTGCCCGTTGACGCTGGTCTGCACACACGGCTTCTCCACGTCCAGGATGCCCGGGCAGACGTCGGCGCACTCCTCGGCCAGCTTGTTGCCGACGATGTAGGTGCTGTCCCCGGTGTCGGGCAGCAGCAGCCCCCAGTCGATGGTGGAGAGGTGGCAAAGCTCCTGGTTGCGCTCGATGCGGACGGAGCCGCGCAGGATGTGGCCCAGGCTGTGCAGCCCCACGTCCCGCAGGTGCGGCATCTCGAAGATGACCAGGGCGTAGCTGAAGAAGAGGTTGGTGCCGCGGATGACGGAGAGGTTGGGGAAGAGGTCCCGCAGGCTCTCGAGCCCGTAGACGCGGAAGAGGAGCAGGTACTCGGTGATCATGAGCAGGCGAGGGAAGCTGAGCCCCCGGAAGTCCTCGGCGCCCGTGGTGAACATCAGCAGGATCTGCAGGTTGCCCTCGATGATGGAGCAGTTCTCCAGCTTCTGGAGCTGGGAGACGTCATTGCGGATGTCCATGCTGCCGCAGACTGGGGTGGCGAGAGGGGGGATCCCATGGGCGGCAGGGACGGGGCAGCTGACCCCCACCCCCACCCTGGGATCCCCCAGGGGGTGCTTGGCAGAGTTTAATATCCCGGCGCTGCCTGTCAAACGTGGCTGGAATTGGTTTGGGCAGCCAGCAGACACGAGTGGCTGTGACAGGCAGCTGGCGCGCTGTGGCTCTCGGGGGCACAACGCGTCTGTCAGTGGGATGCTAATGAGGCCTGGCAGCCCTGGCGCCTGCCTTGCCCCATGGCAGCCCCAGGACTGTGTCCCAGCCCCACTGCCCACCCCAGGGGAAGCCAGCTGGGGTATGCAGACAGTTTTCCCCTTCCCTGAGTTGTGGGACAGCCGTGGGGGTCTCATGACATCTCTCCCCTGCCGCGGACCCACAGTTACCCAGTGAGTGGCAGCTCCTGAAAGGTTGTTCCCATTAACTCCCCGGCGGTGCCCAGGCAGGTAACAGGGCACACCAGGCTACCACAGGTGCCCATGTGGCACAGCCTGGGCCACATTTGCTGTCCCAGGGCTTCTCCACCCAGGCCCAGGCAGGGAGCAGGAGAACTGAGGCAGCACAAGCCCAGCATCTCCTGCTTCCCAGTCCCAGCAGGGAGGCAAGAGCCAGGATGAGCAGAGAGCTTCCCACCGGCAGCATCCCCAGCCCAAAAGCGCTGTCCAGGTCCTGGAGGGGGTCGGGGCCGTGGTTCACCCCTTGTCTGGCCCTGCCAGCCTGGGCTGGTGGCTCACAGCCGTATCCTTGTGACCCTGTGCCCGGTGGCATTTTTCCCCTCTCAGTGTCACCCATTAACTGCTGGCACCGTGATTCCGTGGGCACTGAGGCTCTGGCAGCTGCCTGTGCCCGCTCACCCCAGCACCACACCAGGGCTTGGCTCCTCGCTGGGAGCCCTGTCCCCCCCCAGTCAGGACAGGAGGGTCCTCCATCCTCCCACAAAACCGGCCCTGGGTGCAGCACCAACCCTGGGGGTTACAGCCCCCGCTGCCACCGTCACCTCCCTGACCTTGCAAAGTCACCCTGTGAGGGGACAGGGGTCCCCCGTGCCCCTAGGGGACAGGGAGGGGACAGGGGTCCCAGGTGGGAGCTGGCACAGCGAGGTGTGTCCTCTGGGAAGCTCTCGGATGCTTCATCCCCCTCCTCCATCGCTCCCACCCCCCCCAGCACAGCCCCTCGGTGCTTGGGGAAACTGAGGCACGGGCGGTAGGGAGAGGGGAAGGCAGGACAGACCGACAGACCCTCCTGGTGCCGCCGGCCATCCCTCGCGGTGGTTGTGCCCCCCCCCCCCCCCCCCCCCCCCCCCGTGCCACCCCTCTCCACCCTTTTCCACCCTAGCAGCCGTGCTGGGACCAGCGCTCTCAATTCCTGCGGCAATTTCCCACCATCCCAGAGGGGCTGAGCAATCCCCGCCCCCGGCTCCAGCTGAGCCCCCCCCACGTTCCTCCCTCACCCCATCCCAGCAGTGGGGGGGTGTGGGGGGTCTCACACTCTGCCCCTCCTGCCCAAAACGGGGGGTTTGCAGCACCGCGGGGGGCTGCCGCGGGGGGAAACCGAAGCAGAGGGAGCACCCAAAGAGCTTTGCCTCAGGGTTTGGCTCTTGCAAAGCCCCGAGCACAGGTATCACCCCAGAACTGTCCCTCCAGGCAAGCGCTCCACCCTCGCCCCTCTCCCGGCCACCCCCTCCCAGGCACTTACTTTCGGAGGGGGCCCACACGGGGGGCAGAGGGAGGGGACCAAGGACCAGCAGCATCACCCCCAGCCGCAGGGCACCCGGCGCCCTCGGCCCCATCCCCGAGCGGGACCCCCGGGGTCCCGTCCCTGTCCCACCTCGGGCGCTGCTGCCGCGTCGGGTCCCGCTCGCCGTGTCCGGCGGCACCTGGGGCACGCCGGGATTGGGGGGGCACGGCCCCTGCCCGGACCTGCGGCCCCTTCACTTTTGTTTTCGGCTGCCGCACACAAAATATTTAGCCTGACAACTGCCAGGGCCAGGGCCGGGGCTTGTTTGGGAAATACAGAGGGGGAAAACAGGGCGGCCCCCCCGCCCCCCGTGCTGGAGTGGGCGGGAAGGAAGGGCTGCCTCCTGCCTCAGTTTCCCCAGCCGGAGCAGGAGGATCCAAGTTGCTCTGGCGCGGGGTTGCCACGAGAGCAGCCAAGAACACATGGAGACACCCCCACCCCCCCCGAGCAGCACAGAAGGGAAGGGACAACTCTCCCTCACAGGGTGGATCTGGGGGTGCCAGGACCCCGCGGCCCCGGGGTCCCCACAGCCCAGCAGCCTTGCAGTGAGGAGGAGGAGGAGGAGGAAGCTGCGGGCACTCGGCACCAGCTGGTTGTGACGACCCAGCCTTGAGGGGAAGGAGACGCAGGAGAGGAGGATGGAGGAGGGAGCGATATTTATTTTTCTCACTAGGGCAAAGCAGGGAGGGGGGTCCCGGCCCTGGGGCAGCAACACCGGGGGGTCAGGAGGGGGGTGCTGCTGTCCCAGTGACCCCCCGACACAATGGGCAACTGGGAGCACTGGGGCCAGACAGTGCTCCTGCCTCCTGGGCTGAGGAGATGAGGGGACCCCCAAGGTTCCTCCCAGGGGGGCTCCTGTTTTCTTTCAGGGGGGCTCAGGAGCTGCTTCTCCGCCGGCGCAGCAGCGCGATGGGGGGGCTGCTCTCCTCCTCCTGGTCGCTCTCACAGCAGCGCTGGGGGCACAGGGGGGGCTGGAGGGCAGGGACAGGACTCCCCCTGGAGAGGGAACCCCCCAGAGGAGAGGGCACCCCAGGTGGAGATAACTCCCTTTGCACAGCCACTGCACAGCACCCCCTCCATTTGGGGGGGGTCAGGCCTCCCAGATCCCTTCTCCCTCTCCCCAGCCCGTGTTGGGTGGGCTCTGGGGGGCTCCTGGGTGCTCACCAGCTCCTCATCCTCCTTGCTCAGGCCGCAGAGCAGCCGCGTGCGGCACAGCCGGTTGCAGGCGGACACCATGTTGTAGGAGAGCTGGGGGGCAGGAAGGAAGGGGGTCCAAGGTGGGGGTCCCTCCCCAGCTCTGCCCTCCCCCCAGCATTACACCTCCACATTGCAGACCCCCGAGAGGGAGCCAGCCTTGGGATGCAGCCCAGCCCGAGCTCCCCGGGGGCCTCAGGGGTGGTGGGACCCCCAGGGCCGGGAACCCCCTCACCTTCCACTTCCTCACCTTCCACTTCCTCCGAGCGTTGAACTTGCGGAAGTTTCTCATGTTGATGGAGGAACGACTCCGGCTCAGCACCTGCTTCCTGCTCAGGGGCTGTGGGGGCGAGGACACGGCGCCGTCACCGCGTCCCCACCTGCATTCCAGGGGTCTGGCACCCACCCCCTGCCTGTCCCTCTCACCTTGATCCAGGGGTGCACCAGGCACTCGGCCGCCGTCATGCGGTGCCTGCACACAGGGGGAGGGATGGGATGGGGTGGTCCCTGCCCCACCCATCCACCAGGGGATGGGGATGATGGGGATGGGGGTGCTGGAAATGGGGATGGAGGTGGAGATGGGGATGATGGAAGTGGAGATGGGGTGGGAGGGAAATGGGGATGGGGATGATGGAGATGGGGATGATAGAGATGGGATGGGGATGGGATGGAGATGGGGATGGGGATGATGGGATGGGGATGATAGAGATGGGATGGGGATGGGATGGAGATGGGGATGGGGATGATGGGATGGGGATGGGATAGAGATGGGGATGGGGATGGGATGGAGGATGGGGATGGGGATGATGGGATAGGATGGGGATGGGATGGAGATGGGGATGGGGATGGAATTGAGGGTGGGGATGACAGGTGGAGGTGGGGATGGAAATGAGAAGGAGGTGGAGACAGAGATGATTGGATGGGGATGGCAGTGGAGATGGAATGGGGATGATGGAGGTGGAGATGGGATGGAGATGAAATAGAGATGGGGATGATGGGATGGGATGGAGATGGGGATGGAATTGAGGGTAGGGATGACGGAGGTGGAGGTGGGGATGGAAATGAGAAGGAGGTGGAGACAGAGATGATTGGATGGGGATGGCAGTGGAGATGGAATGGGGATGAGGATGATGAAGATGGGGATGGCCATGGGGATGGGGATGGGAGGAGATGGAGGTAGACCTGGTGGGCTGGGATGGGGCCTTACTCTGGGTCCTTCACCAGCAGCTGCTGGATGAAGTCCTTGGCCATCTCGGAGGTCTGGCTGAAGCAGCGCTCCTCAAACTCATAGGCACCAGCCACGACGTTGGAAAGGGTCTCAGCGTCCGTCTCACCCTGGAAGGGGGACAAGCCGCTGAGCCTGTGGGGACATGACAGAGCCACTGAATGCTGGGACATCACTGGCTCGGCCACCCCAGCACCCCCAGTGTCCCTGTGCCTCAGTGTCCCCAGCACAGGGAGCACTGCCCCACACTCACAGGATGTAGGTGATGACCCCGATGCTCCTGAAAGGCAGAGATGGGTATCAGATACTGCTCCCCCTGGGGCCCCCCCATGCCCGTGGCACCCACCAGCTCAGCCTGGTGCCCCCAGGCCCCTGGTCCTCACCACATGTCGGTCGCGGAGCTCAGCGGCTCATAATTGATCACTTCAGGAGCTGGGGGCGAACAGAGAGCCCGGGCAGGACATCAGAGGGGACAGCACCGGCCTGCCACCTCCCTCCCTGCACACCAGGGGTCCCTTTGCCACACCCCCCAGGGACGTGCCAGCCCCTACCGATGTACTGGGGGGTCCCGCAGAGGCTTTTGAAGGTGACACCATCCTCCAGCTGCTGGGCCAGCCCAAAGTCGATGATCTTGATCCGGGGCTTGGGGACGTCCCTCTCCTGCAGCATGATGTTCTCGGGCTGTGGGGACGTGGTGGGGTGAGGAGGGGATGGCAGGGGGTGCAGCAGCGCCCTGGGGAGCTGGGCAGGGTGCGGCCAAGGTTCCAGAGGTGCCTGGAAGGGCAGATGCAGCCCCTGGATCCTCAGGGAGCAAGG